TCTGCAGAGGAGGGGATGTTTAGTGTGGCTTCAGCTAGGCGCTCTCCAAACCCTGGGGTAGCCTGCAAGGACCCCCTACCAACTTAGACACCTGATATTTGGGAGCTCTGCCCCTCTCCCTCTGCACAGGAGACCGTACTTAAGACAGGATCAGCTCTAGATACCAAATTGGCCAGTAGGGGATTGTGACCTCTCCCCAAATTATGTAGCCCCTCCATTTCCTGAGGGTGTTTCTGAGCCCCCCTCCCATAGGCTCTGCAGGCTTTGACTGTGTTCCCTGGCTTTTGCCTGCCCAGGTCTTAGGAGGGTGAATGTGTCCATTTTGCACTCCCAGGAGTGACAGCCACGCAGACCCTCAGAAGCTTTTCCCGGCAGTGCTGGGGAGTTGAAACAGGCACAGGAGCTAACCCCCACCAATTTGGTGTCCCGTGGGGGAGGGGGAGAGAGGGGAAAGGGGGAGGAGGGGAGGGAGCTGCCTCTGCAGCACAGCACTTCAGTCAAACACACTTTTTCTTTCTTTTTCTTTTTCTTTTCTTTTCTTTTTTTTTTTTTAAAGACGCTTTTCAGATGAAGCACTCTTCCTAGCCCTAAGCGAGGGAGCCTCTCTCCCAGATGTCTTCCCAACCCCAAGCCGAAGACCCCCGCAGGGACTTGGCGACCCCCACCCATCCCACTTCCTGGCTCTGCACAGCTCCCCAAAGCCCTGCACTTAATTAATTTCGCGGTGTTTGGCTCTGGCAGCCCTAGGCAGGCAACTTCTCTTGCCTGCTCCCAGCCTCGGGACCCTCTAAGGGCTTAGCGACCCCTTCCCAATCAAACACAGACACATTCCTGTCCTTTGCCCGGCGTCTCTTCACAGCCTGAACACTTACCTGGGCTCGGTCCTGCTTTGGGCGCCAAGGAGAGCGGCTCTTCTTTGCCAGCCCCAGCAGCGCGAGTGTGAGGACCCCGGAGGAACGGGGAGGCTTTTCCAAGCCCCCTGGGGGCTAGCTTTGCAGCCAGCCGCTCCCAAGCCCCTCGGCAGCCTCACCACTTACCTGCTCGGCTCTCTGCCTCTGTCCAAGCTCTGGACAGCAGCCCCCCACTCCCAGCTAGGGATCCCCAGGAACCTAAGCTTAGAGACCCCGACATTTAGTCTTGGGGAGCGTCTCTTAGTCCTAGACACCCGCCCCTCCCATCTCCCTGCACTCAGGGCTGGATTCAAGCTCCAGACACTCTGGCCTGCTATGCGGACTCACGGGGCCGCCGCCGCAGGCTGCGGGAATGCTAGTGGCCCCAGCCCCTGCCTCCTCTCCCTCCCTGTGGTCACTCCCGTCCCAGGCTAGCCCTTTGTCCCTCCTGAAATGGGGCTCAGTAAGAATTGCTTTACTCTGACATTTGCCTGGCCACAGAGTGGCCGTAGAAGGTGCGGCAAGCTCCGGCTGGACCCTGGCTCTATCTCCCGCCCTCCACTCCCACCCCCCAGGCTCGCTGGTGGTGTGGAGCTCGGGCAGGTGGGCGCTAACTCTGGAAGGTCTCCCCACCGTGCCGTTATGCCAGCCTGGTGTCGCTGGTACTCTGGAACCGGGGCTACCACAGGCATGGGGGACACAGATACCCAAGGAGGGAGCAGGGGCGCGGGACACGGGACTGCAGCGGGGTGCAGGCAGCTTACCGAGGTTGCGGAGTCTCTCATTCTTGGTCACAGCAGCGATGACAAACGAGTTGCCCACGAGGTCCATCACGATGGTGAAACAAAGCAGCAAGGACAAGAAGCTGGTCAGGAACACATTCTGGGGCCGAGGGGTCTTGGGCTGCCACCAGTCAGGGACAGTAGTAGTGTCATTGTGAGCCGCCTCCATGGTGGTGGAAGCTGGGGAAAGAGGAGACAGAATGAGAGCGCCGCCGCCACAGCCAGCATCACACCCACCAGTCCAAGCTCCCGGCCCCCAGCCAATACTCCCCGGACTCGCCCAAGACCAGGGGAGGGCTGCTAAGTGTCTGCTGACTCCCTCAACCTTTTGTACCCCTAAGTTCTCTCCAAGGCGGCGGCGCCAAGGGTCCATCCTGGGGAGGGAAGTTTGCCTCAGTCTTTACCTGCTCACCACCCGCTCGCCTGAAGACGCTCCCACCTCCAGCCCTAGAGCGCTCGAATTTCCCTGGCACTGAGCTTTTGTCTCCAGGGCGTGGTGCCCAATGGCATGTCGGTGTCAGACAAGCGAGAGCTTAAGGGCTCTCTGGCAGCTCCCCTACGATCTGGTGCCTCCCGAGCCCTCTGAAAGGCTACTGCCGCCGCTGCGCACTTGCGCGGATGCCAGAGCCCCTCAGACAAGCCAGTGCCGCCTGCACGGAGTGCGGGCTCTTGAGCCCTCCCCCTGCCAAGCGCAGCTGCTGCTCACAGAGTGCGGGCTCCCGGGCCCGTAGGAGGAGCGCAGCCGCCTCACACAGAGCCCCCAGAGCGCCGCCAGGACAGTGTCGGGGTCCAGAGCCCTCAGGAAGGGCGGTGCCGACTCGCACAGAGTGCCAGGGCATTGCCAGAGTCCAGAGCCAAAGAGGTGGACATTGCCGCCGGCGCGCAAAATGCCAGTGCAATTCCAGGGCACTATCTGGGTCCCGGAGCTCCCAGGAAGTGTGCTGCCGCCTCGCACAAAGTGCTAGAGCATTACCGGGGCTCTGGAGCTGCCGGGATGGACACTGCCTCAGCGCACCTCGTACCAGAGCAATGCTAGGGTACTGCTGGGGCTCCGCAGCTCCCATAAAGGGCGCCACTGCGCACAAAGTGCCGGGTCTCTACCGGGGCTCCAGAGCTCCCGGGAAGGGTGCTGCCACGGTTCTTAAAGAGCCGGGGGGGCTCCGGAGCATCAGGAATGGACAATGCAGCCGCGCATAAAATACTGAGGCATTGCCAGGGCTCCCAAGCCTCTGGGATGGACAATGCCACCACTCGTAAAGTGCCGGGACACTGCTGGGACGCCCGAACCTCCCGGAGGGAAGTTGCTGCTGAACATCAAGTGCCGGGGCATTGCTGGGGCTCCAGGACCCCAGGAAGGGCGCTGCCACCTAGCATAAAGTGCCAGAGCATGGCTGGGACTCCCAAGTCCCCGGGAAGGGTGCTGCCGTTTCCCATAAAGAGCGCATTTAGTACCAGGGCATAGATAGGGGAATTTGGAGTCCGGAAAGGGAACTTGGAGCCCGGGAAGGGAATCTGGAGCCCGGGAAGGGAATCCGGGGCCCGGGAAGGGTGCTGCAGCCAAGCATAAAGTGCCAGGGCATGGCTGGGGCTCCAGAGTCCCCCGAAGGAAGCTGCTGCCTTGCATAAAATGCCAGAACATTGCCGGGGGACCTAGAGCCCCCAGGAAGGGTGCTGCAGCTGTTCCTGTACCGGGGAGAGTCCAGGATCAGAACAGAGCTCAAAAAGCGTGTGGAGAGCAGACTTCGTTGCCTTGCTCCTACTCCATCCCCCAGATTCCTGGCTTGTCCCAGATCTGATTGTGGGGGATCCCCCGACTCCTCTTCTCCCTCCACTTCTCTTTCCCTTTCTCCCCATAAGGAGGACGAGGAAGAGAAATCTGGTCACTTATCCAACAACAACAACAAAAAAATCTGGGTTCCTTCGCCCCCCCCCCCCCCCCCCCCCCCCCGCCACTCTCTGAAGCCACAGCCAGGGATAGTCCCCGCGACCGCTATGCCGCAGGCAGGCAAAGTGCTGCTGGCTTGGCTGAGCTCGGGAAAAATCCCCAGGCCCAGACCTCCGCCCCCCAGCCGGCTGGCGGCCCCTTGCCGCAGCCTCGGAGCTTACAGTAGGGGTTGTAATCCCCGGAGGCAGCGCCCTCCTGGCCAGCAGCGCCGGTCACCGCAGGCAGCAAGTCCCCCAGCAGCCGAGACGTGTTCGGCAGAAACATCGCTGCTGAACTAAGCTGGCCGAGCTGGCCGAGCTTTTATAGCAATCTTTACCACCTGACTTCCGACGTAACACCTACGACATCAAAATTAATGACAGGGGCAACCTCCCAAACACCTGTAAGCACTTAAACCCCCTTGGGAGACCTTTGGCCACCCCCCTTTTGGCAGAACTGACCATGGAGTGCCTACAATAGCCCCAACTCCCTTTACGCAAAGTCTGAATGGCAGTGCTAGCCCAGGCCTGAACTCTTAACAGCAGGAGGCCTGCTCCTGGTCTTCGAATAGGCATCTCGGTCACCCAGGGCAGGGGTAGAGTCAATGCAATCTGACACATTTGAGCTAGTCCAGCTGCCTAAATTGTCTAGCTCGCACATGTTCAAAGGGAACTTCCAAAGGCTTCGGGAGGGCTCGAGGGGAGGCAGCGCTCCCCTCAGGGCAGTGCGCCAGGCAGTCACACCTCCCCAGAGCAGCCTTCACCTTCGAACTCAGGCCCCATCTCTACGTTTTTGGTTCCACTCACTTTCTTCCTGGTACCCCGAAGCTATCCACAAAGTGCAAAGTCCAGCCCACATTGACCCACGTCCAACGGGAGGTGGTCCGCTAAACATCCAACATTCGTCAACCCCATCCCACCCCGTAACTTTTACCAGATCATTAAGTAATTGAGGTAGGGATCGACAGGAGATTTCAGATGGAACTCAATCCTCCTAAGGTTAGAGAGCTGGTCTCTAAACTGTTTAAGGCACCGAGAGCTAAGAGTCTTGAGGTCCGTCAGCCAGTAGGTGCCAGAACTAGAATTCGAACCCTGAACTTCCCGAAGCTTCAAGGACCCTCCATCCAATGTGTAAGCCTGAAAGTTCTGTGGCCCACTCCCAAAAAGGAGCATGGTGATGTACAAGGTTCAACTCCCAGAGAGCCCAGAAAATTATTTCCGCTTTGACTTGGAACTCATTAGGTGAATGAAAAAGGAACACATTCCTACCCCAACGCCTATGTGTCCTTTTTCATTCCCAGACAGAAACCTCAACTGCCTGGATGAGTAAGGAACCCCCCAAATACTGGGTGGCCCCAAAGTGACCCAAAATCGTTCTTTCAATTAAAAATTTCTTTCTTTGATCCTAAAACCTTTTTTTTTTAATGTTCACGGATTTATAAATAAAAAATTCGTTCACTAAGAAAAAGTTAGGGCCTTATTATAAGGACTTGGGGTGGGCGGGGTGAGGGGGAGGTCTTAGAAATAAAATCCAATTTTCTTTTATTATTTGCTTAATTATTTTTAATGTGACCACCAATTTGCTGAGAAGATTGGGTTGGCCAGAGTTCATGGAATCATAGGCTTAAAGCCGCAAAGAGATATTAGACAACATTGATTCTACTCCACCCCTTTTACAGATGATAACAGTGAGGACCAGAGACCTTAAGTGATTTTTCCAAGACACACAGCAAGTGGCAAAGTAGAACTTTAAAACTAGATCTTCTGGCTGGATATTCAGCTCTCTTTTGACTCCACCACAGAACACGGAGGTGAAAAGGATCCTGGGACATCATCTAACATGACCCTCACAATTGGGAGTGGGTAGGGTTTTTTATTTTGTTTTGTTTTGTTTTCTTTTGTTTTGCTTTATAATTTTGAATTACCACAAATTAGCTAAGGTGATTTAATTAACCAGAGTTAATAGGGTCATAGTTTTAGAATTGTAAGGAACCACACGAGAAATTTAGTCCAAACTCCATATTTTAAATGGGAAGAAATTGAAGACCAGAGAGGGTATGACTTGGAGCATCACACAGCAAATTATGGAAGAACAGGGTTTTTAAGACAGGAATTTCTGGCTCAAGGTCAGAGTCTTGGATGTGCCACAGACGTTAGAGCTTGAATGTATCTTAAAGCTAAACCTACTCCAACCCCTTCATTTGATTTTGTTTTATTTTATTTGCTTAATAAAAATTCTATTACCAAAAATTAGATAAGTGATTTCATCAGCCAGAATTTATAATCTCGGTTTTAGAGCTAGAAGAGGCCTGAGATAACATTTAGTCCTACCCCCACATTTGACATAAGGGGAAACTGAGGACCAAAGAGGTTAGGTGACTTGTCACACCGCAAGTGGAGAGGAGAGGAGGGTTTTTCAGGCCAGATTCTTTATCTCTGACTCCAGTCTTTCTGCTTCCTTAAATTATCTATTCCAGCCTGCTTTCTAAGAGATTAAAGAAAAAGCTAATTTAAAAAATGTTAGTGTCAATTTTCGAGGATGATTGAATTGGCCAGAGTTCATAGGCTCACACTTCTAGAGCTGGGGTGGGGGGCGGGTCTTAGAAAACATTTAGCTCTACTCCCTTATTTTGTAGGTAAGGAAACGGCAGAACAGAGAGGGTGAGTAACTTGGCCAAGATCACACAGCAAGTAAGTAGCAACACAAGGGTTTTAAGCCCTGGTCCTCTGGCTCCAAATCTAGTTTTTCCCACTGAACCAGAGGCTTTAAAGCAAGACTGTTGTGGAGAACCTCTAATACAATCAGGAATATTGATACCACTTTTCTTTTTTTTTTCTGTCTTGCTAAATAATTTTTGTTATTGCCACAAGTTAGCAAGAGTTCCTAAGATCACAGTTTGGGAGCTAGAAGTGGGAAGAGATCTTGGGATCATCTGGTCTAATTTCATTTTAGGTGGATTCCTCTTTTTCCTAAAAGTCTTTTGATTATTACTGTAAATTCACTAGGAGGATTTAATTAGCCAGAATGCAAAGGATCACATTTTTGGAGCTGATGGAGACCTAAGATACCATTTTAGTCCAATCCTCTTGTTTTAGAGTCAAGAAAATTAAGGTCACTCAGAGAGGTCAGAAGACTTATCCAAGATCACACAGCAAATTTCTGAGTATGATTGTTGTGACCAGATGGCAAAAGATATCTTGGAGATTACCTACTCCAATTATTCTCCTCATCTCCTTTCTCTTTCTCCTTTCTCTATTTTCCCTAAGTATACATATAAAATATAATAAATATATAAAATAAATATAATAATAAGTATATAATATATCTTAAATTTTTATTGCCAAAAATTATAAGAGGTGATTTAATTAAAATTCAAAATATCAGAGTTTCGGAGCTAGGAGAGTTCTTAGACAGCAACCCTTGCATTTTTTAATTAAAACATTTTATTATGATTATAAATTAAGTCAGACTTCATGAAATCATTATTTCTTTATATGTTGTTCATTATTTACTCCAGCCTCTACAGATAAAGAAAGTGAGGACCAGAGAGGTTAAGTGACTAAGCCAACATCACACAGCACTCAAGTAGCAAAGCAGATTCCCAGCTCAGGTTCTGTAGGTGCCAACTCAATTGTGTTTCTCCCACACTAATCGATTTGGAGCTGGAAGGGTTCTTGTAAATCAGCCGGTATAGTCCCATTTTAGGTAGCATTTTTTTTGTAAAAATATTTTAATGATAGCTATAAATTAGCTAAGGGGATCTAAGTAGCCTAAATTAGCCATAGCCATATTTTTTAGAGCTTATTGAGATCTTAGACATTCAAGAAAACCAAAAAACAGAAAGGTTAGGTAGCTTGCTCAAGATCACACAGCAAGTAAATGGCAGAGCAGTGGTTCTGGGTCAGATTCTCTTACTCAGGGTCCAGCTCTCTTGCCTCTGTACCCAGTGGGTTGGGAGGGTATCTGATACAATCCCCTCCTTAGATCTGAGGGGTTTTATCTTATTAAGTTTATAAATTGAGGTTATTTTGCTAAGCAGAGCTCATGGGATCGTAGGTATAGATGAAGTAGGGACCTGAAACAATAGCCATTCCAGTTCAATAGCCATTGCACCCCATATTTCCACATTAACCATTTCAAGGAAATCATTTTCCAGAAAAGAAAACTGAAGACCAGAGAGGTCAAGTGTTTTGGCCAATGTCACACAGCAAGTAAATTTCCAATCAGAGTTTCTTAGACTGGGTCTTCAAGTTTCTCTTCCAACTGTTCCTCTGCACTTATTTGGAAAAGGGATCCTGCAGATTCCCTAATCCACCTATTCATTAGAGATTTTTTTTTCCTAAAATTTTTTTCCTATTGCTAGAATCAAGCCTAAGGTGACTTTAATGAGTCAGATTTCTTGGGATAATAGGCTTTGAACTGGAGGAGACCTTAGAAATCATATTGTCCAGCCCTTTCCTTTTACAGATGAGAAAAGTGAGGACCAGAGAGGTTAGGTGACTAACCCAAAATCACACAGCAAGGAAATGGCAGTGCAAAGATTTTGAAGCCAGATTCTCTGGCTCTGGCTTCACCTCTCTGGCCACTGGCCCTCAGGGGCTTCAAGATCACCAGGTACAATCTCTTGTTGGGGGGTATTCTGCTAAATAGTTTTATTATTAAAAGTAATTAAAGTGAATGAATTAGAGTTCATGACATCATCATTTCTGAGCTGAAAAGGGCCTTATACAACCATCAATTAATCCAACTTCCTCATTTTTTTTCTGAAAAGGAAGGTGAGAATCAGAGAGGTTGAGTGATCTCCTCCAGATCACACAGCAAATTGAGTAGCAACCAAGATTTTGAGTCCTTCTAAAATGAGATATGATTTCCAAGTCTCTTTTCTAAATTGTTCAGTGCAAAGAGGCTTGGAAATCAAATCTCCTCATTTTAGGTGGATTTTTTTTTTTGCTAAAATATTTTAATGATGACTAAATTAGCTAAAGGGATTTAAGTAGCCAGAGGGCTTTGGATCATATTTTTAGAGCTGGTGGAGACCTTAGCCAGCATTTAGTCCAAATCTCTTATTTCACATTTGAGGAAACCGAGGAACAGAGAGGTTAGGTGATTTGCCCAAGATCACACAGCAAGTAAATGGCAGAGCAATAGTTCTGGGGTCAGATTCTATTGCTCAGGGTCTAGCTCTCTTGCCTTGGTACCCAGTGGGTTGGGAAGGCCTCTGGTACAATATACTCGTTAGATTTGGTTTGGTTTTGGTTTTAAAAAAAATGTCTATAAATTAATTA